ACTTAGGTGCAGGGATAGACCAGATCTTGAGAATGAAGTCTTACCGGTTCTTAAGAAGCTGGCTGATTTTGCAAATGCTAATGCTAGAGTTGAAAGAGAGAACGCATGTGCTCCAAGCCACTACTTTTGTCCAATCCTTCAGGTGATGATTTCCCTCTACACTTGTAGATAATCCTTTTTCTTTCTTCTTCCTTTTCTCCTTTCATAACGCAAGCAGGCCTTTTCATTTTAATCACTTGTCCCGATATCAACTACACCTGGTTTTGTGCATATCTTGCAGGAGGTGATGCAGGATCCATATATTGCTGCTGATGGTTTCACATACGAGCACAGAGCAATAAATGCATGGCTTGAAAAGCACAGGGTATCCCCAGTAACCAGGAAGAAGCTCCAGCATACGGTTCTCGTACCCAACCACACTCTACGCTCCGCCATACACGACTGGAGATCCCGGGTGACTTTCGAAGGGAATCACGATTGATCTGTTGTAGCTTTCTGTAACCTGTTCGCTTTTATATTCTGTATATAAAGACTGTAAATAGTTCTATAGCACGCTGTTCTCTGGAAGAATAGGACCATCATTCGTCCCTGTTTTCTCCTATAGAAATGCCTGAACAATGAGAAATATTGTCTATAGTCATATAATGAGGATGCCACTTGTTTCTTTACCGTGTGAAATCACTCCCCCCTTTCATTTAGCCATTTCCAGGCATATTCAGGGATCTGGTCACTATTGCCTTGGCCAAGTCTCATCGTGTCCGGATTGATTAACTTCTGTATCAAGCTAATTCTTTTCAGTAAAATCTGTCTTTGTGGTTCAAAAAGAGCTCGAGGGATGCCAGACATCGTGAAGTGGGGAATGACATCCAATTCGTCCAGATCATTAAGTCGCCGCCCCACCATCGAGAATTACATCAACTTCACCAAAACAGATGATGAGCAGGTGTCCGGGGCGCGCGAATGAAGAGATCCTCTCATGTACGTATAAATTTCCCCCTTACTTTTCCTAATCCTGTTGTCTTACGAAGAGAGTTGGTATCAGTGCCTTGGCTCAAACATGAACTATCAGAGAATCTGAACTCGGTTGCAATTACGTACCAGATCAATACATGGCGGACCAACAACTGTGGCTCAGGAAAGTGACGTGAAAAAAGGAAAAAAAAATCAGCTTAGCGAACACTATTGTTATAAACTTTTGCTTTTACCGATGTCCAATGGTGGATTCTTAAACGACCAAAAGTATCTCTGGCTGCTTCAACTCCTTCTGATACTTTTGGAAAGAATATATATAAAAACATTTTTGGGGGGCCAATTATTGGGGAGAAAAAGAAGAGAAATCACGCTAGAAAACAGGTGTGGAGTGTCCATTGCCAGCATGTCATCCACGATTTTCACGACACGGGTGATTTTCCAAATTCCGGAATGATTGAAAGCAATGCAAATGCTACAGATTGAGGGTCATTATCGAAGGTGTTGACAGTGACTTTGACAATGCATGTGCTAGTGTTGAAGTAATTGGTAATTTAGTGCTGGGTAAATGGGTCGGCGATCGGATAGATATAGAAACTAAACATAATGCAATCATTCAATTGATTCCAGACAAGATTTTCTCCTGAAATTGCATGGAAGCTCATTTCATATGAATAAAGCATCTATCAGATAGGTACACGAAATTCATCAGAAGACGGTCTTTCGAAGCTTTCGATCATACCTTCACCCATCAGCCATGTTTTCGATCCGAATTGCCTCGTTCATCATCCGAAACTCGTCGATTTTTGCTTCAGCTCATCGCTACTCATCGACTGGTCACGCGATCCGTCGCTCTCGGGGCCCTTCGGTCAACTTTCCGCTGTGTAAAGGGGAAAAGATAGGGGACTCTTTTGGACCCTTGCTTTTTAGCGGTGACGCGATCAGTGTCATAAAGCCAGGAGAAAGCAGGGGAATTTAGACGTCGGCAGTGACGTGGGCCGCGACAGCGACGCCCGCTAGACACCAAATCCCGATGTCAAAAGGGGATTTGGGACGATGCCGGTGTGATGCACATTGACAACGTAAGTCGCTGATTCCCTTTTGTACGGCGTTTCGTTCGCACCTGTCCGTTCCCACCACCACCACCACCACCTCCACCACCACCACCTGTCTCTAAATCGATCGATTTGATCGCTCTTTCTTCTGCTGTCGCTCCTGATTTGGCCCGCCTTGCCTAATTTTTCTTTTTGGAATAAACCCATTGAAAATTCTAAAATTTGTTACGAGATTATAATTGAGTATTAAAAATTCGAAGAGTATAATTAAATCATAAAACTTATCACGAAATGTAATTCACTCTTAAAACTTTCGAAAAGTGCAATCGAATCATACAATTTATCAAATTTGTCAAATCAAGTCCTTCTATTATTTGCACTTTTTAGAAATTTTATGAATCGATTACACTTTCTTCTCAAGTTTTAGAACTTAATTGTACTTTTTAAGGTTATCGATTGGACTTTCGCGACGAGATATGAAAATGATCTACAAATGCCGGTTGTTCAACTTCAAGAAAAATTGACCCAAAAAAAAAACTTCAAGAAACTATTTATTACGTTCTCTACGGAATTGATTATAAAAAAAAACATTGGAGTTAAGAAAACATACGTATATTTAGATCTACATGTCAATATCCATATGTTGGTAAATTTCAAGTGCTCAATGTCAAATTAAATTCAAAATTCCAAGTTTCTAAATTTCTATCCTTTTTTTCCTTGAGAATATCAAGGGGTTCTAAAGCTAAGAGCCAAGTGGCAAGCATTCATATAAAAACTACTAACTCAGAAGGGAAAAAGAACCAAATAAAATTGCGTTTCTTTTGCGAAAAATTAATATCTTGAAAAAAATATTCCCAAAAAATTATTGCTTCTAATTAGTCGATGAAAATATTTCATTGTTGATACCAATTTATGTCCAGTCATTTTCGCGAATGATAAAAATATTTTTCGTTCGCTCATTTTTGTAAACGATACGAATAATTATATTCAAAAAAAACAATTTTCAAATTATTCACCGGCGAAACAAACGCGACGCATCCCGAAAAGCTCGGAATGAAGTCGATTTTTTTTTCCACATCCGTCACTTACTCTGCCAATCCCTTGCACCAGCATGGGAAAAAAAAACAATTAATTTAGAAAATAAAACGGGTCGTGGATGAAAAAAGGGGCACACCCACTGGCGTTGCTTGGGGAAGAATTATCGACCAAAATAAAATAAAAAGAAAGAACATATGCTTTCTGCAATCAGCGGGAAGCTTCATCAATTCCCACTACTGTACATAAGTATTCCTCTCGATTCTCTTACATCATCCCAATCAGCCAACCGTCGCTCAGCACACAGAAGAGAAAAAAGAAGGAGACGAGTGGTCGGCGAGTCAAGACTGGGGGAGAGAGAAAGACGAAGAATCCGGATGGAATAGGATAAACATATGCAAGAGGATAACTTCGGTTTGAGTCATGTTCCCACCTTTCTCTGTCCCTTCCAACCGATGGATTTTCTCTTCCGTTTTTTTTTTTATGTTCTTTTGCGCGAAGCTTCTGCTGTTTTTTCCCTTTCTTCTCACGTGCCGACGTCATCAGAGCCATCAGCATTTTTTTGGATCCATCCATCGATGATGGGGTCTTTGTCCTAGGGTTCGGTTCGTCTATTATGCCCGAAGATGTTGCCGTGCCGTTTCAACTAGAAAAGAGTTTGAATTTCGGGTAGAGCTTTTTGAGAAAAACGAAACGGGATGCCATGGTTTTTAAAGTCTCTGTTTCGTGCGAATTTTACGGTGCTTGTGTGGTCGATGATCTGATTAGTCATGTTGCGGAAACAAGCGATCGAGTGTGAGCACGATAAAAAAGAACCGGGAAATGAATTGGATATCGAATTTATGCACGATTAAGTCGGCGTGACCTATGCTGCGAGGAGAAATAATATATTCACTATAGAAAGAGCAATGCGGCAAATATTACAACCGTACTTGAAATAGTCAAACACTCTCGAGTGTTTACCGACCTCTAATTATATTCCGTATTCTCACGTGGTGTTTGGCCTTGCGGTTTCTCATGGAATAGTCTCTCGATTCGTTACGAAGACGTCGCGTAATTGCTAGCACCGAAGACTCATCTGCTCACGACAGCTCTTCAAAAGGCACCCACCTAACAAGTACACGCACGTGAGGAATCCCACGGTGACTCAAAGTCCATGTCGGACTTATTCTCTTCCCCTCTTCAGAAGCCCCTCTTCTAGTCAGTGTGATCAGTGCGCTTCCCCAAATTTGAGTATCGGTTCAAACGAGTTGAAATCCCACGTTATTCTATTCATATCGGGTTTTGCTCACCAGGCTCGAACTCGAGACACGTTCTCAACAAATATAGTCCTACCGTCATCAAATGTAGTCCTTCGGCGATTTATGGAAAAAAACTACCCGTAAAGACTAAATTGAAACATCGTTAAAATGTTTATGACTAAATTGATAAATTGTCGGAATGTTTAAGATTAAATTGGCACAGTTAGATGATTTAGGACATAATTGGCTACCGTACAATAGATTTATGACTAAATTGGAACAGTTAAAATGTTTTTAACTGGACCGGCCTCGTATAATAGGCTTTAGAACTTTTTGAACAATTATCCCCAATTTCTCTCTTAGTAGATGCTTGGTCTCGAGTGGGAGAAAAATCTACGGAAAATTCCCAAATCACTATGAAAACATAAACCTGCAAATTTTTTTTTTTTTTAAGAAAGCTCACTAACAAAAGTCCGAGACGCCATCCCCAACCGCGTGAAAATTCCCTCGCACCCTTCTTTTTTTCCATTTTTTTTTCCATTTTTATTCGCCCCACCCACGTTGCAGCTGCAGAGCGGTCAACACCACACGGAGAGAGAGAGAGTCAAACCGCCGTCAAAGCCACCGCGTTCACACGGCCGCACACGCTTCCCTCCGCCCGTATTTAAACTCCAGTCCCTCCTCCTCCTCCCACCCCATTCCAAACCCACCACCGCCACCGCCACCGCCACCGCCACCGCCTTCGCTCTCCCCCGTAACGACGATGGAAATCTCTTCCTCCCCGCTCCTCACCCAGGAAGACTTCTCCCACATCTTCGCCTTCTTCCAGCAGCACGACATGGACGCCCTCGACCTCCTCCCCCACCCCTTCAAGCGCCGCCGCCTCGAAGACGGCGACGGCGGCGACGGCGACGACGGCGACGACGACGACGGCGACAAGGCCCCCTCCGCCGCCGCCCTCGCCCCGTCCCCAGGGGACCTCCTCGCCTCCCTCTTCTCTTTCGACGCCCCGGAAGATGGGGACCAGAAATGGGTCCGGGCCGACGAGCCCCCGCAGCAGAAGCCGGTTCCCGCGGTTCCGGACGAGGCCAAGAGCAAGAACGGCGGCGGCGGCAAGCGAGCTCGGCGCGCGCCGGCTGCCGGCGGCGGCGGCGGCGGCAACAGTGGCTCCCCGGGTCCGGTCGAGCCGGTGGCCGGATCGACCCGGAGGCTGTGGGTCAAGGACCGCAAGAAGGAGTGGTGGGACAACCTGAACCGCCCCGACGTCACGGACGAGGAGTTCCGGGCGGCGTTCCGGATGAGCAGGGCCACCTTCGACATGATCTGCGACGAGCTCGACGCGGCCGTCACGAAGAAGAACACGGCGCTCCGGGAGGCCGTCCCCGTCCGGCAGCGCGTGGCGGTCTGCATCTGGCGGCTCGCGACGGGGGAGCCGCTCCGGCTCGTGTCCAACCGGTTCGGGCTCGGCATCTCCACCTGCCACAAGCTGGTGCTCGAGGTGTGCGCGGCCATCAAGGACGTCCTGATGCCCAAGTTCCTGCAGTGGCCCGACGAGCCCCAATTGGGCCACATCAAGCGTCGGTTCGAGTCGCTCTCCGGCATCCCGAACGTGGCCGGGTCAATGTACACGACCCACGTGCCGATCATCGCCCCGAAGGCCCGGGTCGCCGACTACTACAACAAGCGGCACACGGAGCGGAACCAGAGGACGTCGTACTCGATCACCGTGCAGGGCGTCGTCGACGACCGCGGCGCCTTCACCGACATCTGCATCGGGTGGCCGGGTTCGTTGCCGGACGACCAGGTCCTCGAGAAGTCAGCCCTGCACCAGAGGGCGAGCCGGGGGCTGCTGCGCGACGTCTGGATCGTGGGCAATTCGGGCCACCCGCTGACGGACTGGGTCCTCGTGCCGTACACCCAGAAGAACCAAACGTGGGCCCAGCACGAGTTCAACGAGCGGGTCGGGGCGGTCCAGCGGGTCGCGCGGGAGGCCTTCGCGAGGCTCAAGGGTAGGTGGGCGTGCTTGCAGAAGAGGACGGAGGTGAAGCTGCAGGACCTGCCGGTGGTGCTTGGCGCCTGCTGCATACTGCACAACATATGCGAGTCGCGGGAGGAGCCGGTGACGGAGGCGGAGCAGTTCGAGCTGTTCGACGACGAGATGGTGGCCGAGAACGCGGTGAGGTCGGCGACGGCCCAGCAGGCCCGGGAGCACATCGCCCACAATCTGTTGCACCACGGCCCGGCCGTGACCGCTTTCCTATAGTTTGTCTTTGGCGTGCAGTGTGTTTTTTGTACAGTGATTCCGTGAGCTTTTTGTTCATTGACGTTCCTTGCTAGCTCGAGAGCTCTTCTCTCGGGTTGAGTCTATGGCTCCCCCGGGGACGATCGGTCCCGGTCCTCTCGCCGGCCGATCGGAAAGTAAAAGCATCGCAATGACGGCACGATACCGGTCGGAAACCATAGGATCTACACTCTTTTTTTTTCTTCTCTCTCTCTTTTGAGGCCTCCTCCGATGTATTTTTAGGTCCGGTCATATTCTTTTTCCATGTGTTGAAAATAAAATTATGATTTTTCTTGCCTTCCCTTTGCTTTGAGCCTTCTTTGCTTAGCAGCCCGAATGCACCTATTCAGCAGGCACAATAAGCCTCGAGATGAATAGATAAACATGCCGCCGGTGGCCCATGCCGGTTTTGTACGGGACCTCCACGGAAATGTTCCCCCCCGACGGAGAGATCTCGACCACCGCCGGGCAGAACAGTTTCGTGGGGGGCGAAATGAATCACCATCAATCGACAATTCCTGTCTTTTCTTTACTGCCCTCGCACGGTTCGTCTTCAATGCGATCATCTGCTTATGCTTTGGGGGGGGGGGGGTTTTTGTCGAAACGTTCGAGAACGGAAGGGGGTCAGTCAATATCTGAAGATCTTGGAATGTGTTAGGAAGCTGCGAAGAAGTTGAGATGACGAACTTCTGTAATGAAAAGAAACCAAGCATTTAGATTTCGACAAAAGAGCAACCCATCAAAGGAAGACCCCCCCGCCAAAGGAAACCCGCGAGCACTTTTTCGTTCGTCCGATCGAGCGACCGGGACCGGCGAGACGGCGAGACGGACCCGGGATAAGACGCTTTTGAGAAGGGTGAATTGGTCCCTCGAGAGATTGTAGAAAACCCCGGGCTCAGATGCCGGAAGGAATGGGAGTCTGGACAGATTGCTTTGCTTAGATGCTAAGTGCGTACGGCCCATGAAATGGAGACACGGTCTGATCGTTGTGGACTTCTTAGGAAAAAACATGGGCCGAAACAAAAAAACGTAAAAATAATAAATGAAAAACAAAACTATTTCTCGCGGTCGTTGCTGTCACTACACACCTTGTTTGACGAAATGGCAGTTTTCCGTTGAACTTTTTATTACTGGTAAAACACCTAAAAATCCAGTTCGTTCCCGGGTCCATCCGACTGTTGTATGTGTCGTGAAACTGAGCTGCGCTTCCAGCCCTTTAATTCCAGTTACTGCTAATTTCCTTTGAGTTCGTTTTTTTTTTTTCCGAAAAAGGGAAAGGGGGAAAGAAAAAGAAGGAACGCCCGGGGACGAGATCTCCATCTCTTGCGCTCCCGTGGGAAATCGAATGCGGGTTGATGTAATTTCGAATAAAAATGGTAAAAATTACTGGCCTCGAAACTCGGGGGAGAAAATCCTCTTTTTATGTGAATGGATACCGAAAATAAGAGGAAGTATAATTACCTCTCGCGAAATTTAGTAGATAATATACGATTTATGTAATCCGCGAGATTTCGAAAGCTAAAAAGGAATTGACGGAGTGTTAGTCACGACGCTTGGTTTTAAAAACTGAGATTGATAGATCAATTTAGTTTTTGAGTGTGTTCGTATTGTACGAAGAATCACCCTCAAATTATATGCATCTCAACTCTTTTAAATATACGGGATCTAAAAGACCTGCATACAAATGATGTTCCCTTTTTCCTTAGACTATTGTAAATGAAGTCATTTATGCATCCCAACATGTCCATTGATTTGATGAGAATCATTAGATTTTTTTGGTCGAAAGAGAATCATTAGATTGGTTACACTCTTTTTTGCATCATTCAGTATTGCTTTTTCCATTATGCTCATCTAATTGCATGACGACACGGGTCCTCGTGAACAATAAACACGAAAGAGATTATATTGAGAAATCAATTCACAATTTGTTATCAACACTAAATAGAAATTCGCTCGAGAGCTTCCAACTGCAATTCAAGCACCTTTTTTTTTTTTTTATTTCCGGGACATTCGTAACTTTTACGGCCGTTAAAGATAACGGTCTCTATAACTTCCATTTGTGACAGGCCACGAAATTACTAGTTAGGGATCGTATACATAGTTAAGCATTGAAATGTTTCGTGGCGGAGAAAAAAGTGTTGAGGTGTTTGAAACTTTTTTAGCACGGCAAGGCTACAGTGAAAAACTCAAGTAATATCCTCAAAAAAAAGAAGAAGAATTGTGATAATAATAATAAAATCATTTATTTTTTATAGGATGATAACTTGCATCTTGGTATATAGCATAACACCCATGAGCTATGGGGAGTCCCCGTTTTAAATGAGCCGGAAATATTTTTCCAAATTTCCAGAAATGTCTGGGCACTCGGAATTTATTTTCCATTATTAGCGAAGCCGGACGAGGGCAAGAGCGTAATTCCGGCGCGGGCCAGTTCATTGCCGATCAAAAACTCCAGGGGGAAGGAGAAGGGTGGCTTCGACCTCCATAGCTTCGTACGAACGAACCTCTCCGATTCGGAGCTCCGAACCCGCAATTCGGACCCGCTTTCCCGTCGGCGGCCGCGCCCGGCTCGCTCCCTCCCCTCCTCCTCCGATTCCTTCGCCGGAATCGAGCGAGCTCGTTTCGTCTCCTCCGTTTTGATTCCCTCCCTCCGGCGTCCGCGATTGGAGAGGTAAATTCTGCATTGATTAGCTGCTCAGCTTGATTGAAGTTCTAGGGTTTGATTCTCCGATCGAGAGCTGGTTGTCGGTGCGTTGAGCTGGATTCCGGGCACTTGTTTCCGGCATTTTCCGTTGATTCGAGTGGCGGCATCTGCAATTCGACGGTTTTCCGGTGCGGCGGTGCTTTGATGCTCGGTGTAATTTTGGACGGGGTTTCTTCGCGTGTTCAGCTGTGATTGGACTGGAGTTTGGATGAATGTGTATTCCGAGGAAACGTGGTGGTCAAGTTCCGTGGGGGTGGAGTATCTTGAGTGTGTGGAAATGTTCTCTCTGATTTAAGTGGTGGGACGAGAGGGGGGGAGGGGTTTTGAACTTGAACTGAGCAGAGAAGGGGAGTTAGTTTTAGGGAAGCTGTCATTGGCCCGAATAGAGGAAAAAGAATGTGATCTTTCCGGAGTAAAGTGTTAATGCTCGTGTCGTGCATGCTTGATAGGGAGCAAGCATGAGGAAGTACAATTTTTTTGCTGCGACTGGTTGCATCCTGACGTCGTGCTGAAGTTTGTGGAATAATAGATATTTAGTATTAGTTTTTAAGTTGAAGGGTAACGAGGGAACTAGACTTTCTATTTACATTATTGATGAGGATTGTAGCGGCAGTAGAATAAGGAAAGAAACCATCGAGCGCCTGTTGAAATGCATTTAGGTTTCTCTTGGCTATTTGGGCTTTAGTTGCTTCGTCAAGTGTGAAACAGTGTTTGAGCTAGATGCTATAGTCGATTGATAGCATTATCGGGCTGAGAACTTAAATTTCTTGCCCTTAATGGGAAATACTAAAGTTGCTCTTTTGCTTGATGTTTGATCGCATTGACATGGACTTTTCTCTGTCTGTTTGACTTATTGTGTAGGCAGATAGGGGTTTGAATGTGGCCCACTATGGTTATCTAGATCATCTTTAGATGCCGGTATATCCAATGAGTGCCAGGAAGCTCCTTGTTTTTGGGATCTCAATTTACAAAAGTTTGGACCAAAAAATGTGTGGTGCTATGACTACTCTGATGAGATTTTAGACATATAATGTGGAAGCAACTTTCAACTTTCAACTTTCTGCTTCTAGCCCAAGTCTCATGCTTAATAGCATGCCTTTGCACGAGTGGAAAAATCTCTTTCGATGGGTATTTTTTGGGAAGTTACAGTGCTGATACTCAGAACAAGAAATGTTGAAGAGCAAGACATTTTGTGCATCTACAAGTTGCACAGAAAAGATCTAAAGAACCACACGAGGATAATGTAGTAAATTATGGAACTAGGGTCGATAAGCTTTCCAGTTGAGCAGATTGGATGTCCTATAATTTTTCCTCTGCTGAGAGATTATAGGATCTTGCATCCCTGATGTTTCGGCTCATAGTAATTGTGAACTGATCATATCGAAATAAAAAGTGGAAGTGGGAGTTACAGAATGATGTTAAGAGCAATGGAAAGCACACGTGCTAGTGAAGTGGAAGAATTTTTAACTGAAACCAAGACAAGTAAATGGACATCAGGACAATTTTTTGCAGAATAAAAACTTACGCATCTGCAATTTAGGATGCTGAGTATTTGACTCAACTTATTTAACCGCAAGAATAGGTTGTGTACTCATGTCAGTGCACTGGTGCTTTCCTTGTTCATTAGTCATTTTTCCTGAAAAAATGAAGCATTTATTGCTGATTTGTAATCAAGCATATTACATGATAGATACTATCGGCATGTGATCAAATTGAGACTAAGAAAAGTTCAATGGCAGAAGAGAGATAACACGGTTGAATAAATGGCCGGAAAGGACAGTCCAGTTGATGTTCAGAACACTGTTGAATAATTTCTCCTTAACAGCAATCATCTTATTAGAAATAGTTCTTAGTATTATGCTACACAGATTCAGTAATGTTATGGCATCTCCTGATTCTTGGTATCAGCAGTTTCTTGTTTTATTGTTGTACTTCTTGCTGAAGAGCTCTCTCCAATCTCTTGCACTAGATTGAGCTGAATAATCATTTATATAATACAAAGATTATAAGTTAACGTGGGAATCTGTTGTCAAATTTAGTGAAGTGATTATCCAAACAATGAAAGATGACTGAAGATTTTCTGGTACTGGATAAACAGCTTTAGACAGAATGTTTTGTACATATCAGACCTTTTCTTTAAAATAAGATAACTTTTCGAACTTCTTGTCGGTTGAACCAGCATTGGCAGTTTCTGGACTTCGCTCATGCTGCTCATAATGCTGGTCATATATTAGTCTTTGGTATTAGTCCAAACCTTAGTGATAGAAGCAGTGTTATACTCTTTCAAAGTTATTGACGCTTAGCTTTCCTACTAATTTTTGCAGGTGACTCAGTTCTACCTTTTTCTTGAGGGCATATAACTGATCCATATGTCCGGCAGCACTGCAGTTTTGTCATGTTTCAGTCTGCTGATCAGATATGTGACATTGATGAATTAGAGAAGCTGATGCAATGGCATCATCCAGTAAATTTGATCTGTCTTCTAGCAGCCCCGATAGGTCACTATATGGCAGTGGGTCGCGTGGATCCCACATAGCATCTCCGATGGAGAGGTCAGGCAGCTTTCGTGAGAGCATGGAGAATTCAATGCTAAG